GATTCCAGAGAGATTAACCAAGGTCCTGACCCAGTGATTGTCTGGAGTCGGGGGTCTGTTTATGTGTTTCCACAGGGAGAACAGCAGCCGATTTGGATTCCAGAAAGATTAACTAAAGCGATTTCTACAGACCAAAAAGAAGATGATTTGGCTCAAATCCATAACAACTGATATCCAAAACTCCAGTTTGGCTATTCTTACATCTGCAACAGAACCAGGATGCTTTTTTCAATATCTATTTTATTATTGCCCTTTGCCATATCATGAAGTTCTATTTTGTTTTTTGAGCTCATACAGACCTAGGTTAATGTTTTGCTGATCAGTTCTATTTTTTGACTATAGAGTTTTTAAACATTGCAATGGAGATTTCACCTGTAAAAAGTTATAAGGCCTTTACTATAATGTTATGTGTGTATGTATTATATTATGTGTGCACACTTGTGTTTTGTGTTATGTGTTTGAATGTACGTATGTCCATATATCATATATGATGAGCGCTCATGATAAAATGGATCCAAATATTTTTTTTCACGTGATTTATATGGTTTAATTTAAATTGGGTAAACAACTGTTTAGGATTGTTTTAATATGTAAACAAAAAAGAAGGTTAACAGATCTGTTTGTTTACTTTCACCTTTCGTTTTCATTATATTTAATAATTCTCTTAAAGATAATGTAAATTGTTAAGAAAATTGTTTTCTTTTAGTGCCTTCTGTAATGTTACATAATTTTTTCTTTAGCCATTATTGCCAGAATTCCTATCTTCATCCCAGTGCTAGTGAAGTCAAAGATAAAACCAATCTACAGCTTCTACAATAGCCATCACTGAACTGCTTGCAGAACTTGCCTGGACACATTGTGAGCTCACCTGTATGCATTGTGAACTATCTGTTGGTACAGCGAGTTGTGGTAGTGCTGGAGTATTTTTGCTGATGGTGTCACCGGTGGTACAATTTTTCAAAGGAGCCCTCAATTGGCTTAATGTCATGGCATTTTGCATCGTCCTCTACTAGTGATGGTCTAAAATTTGGGGGCCAACAGAGGTGAGGCAAAGAACCTCAACCCCCCACAGGTGCAAAGGCCTATCCACAAGTATGGCTGTATGCTGGACCGGTAGTCAGTGACGGGTATGATCCAATTGCAGTGGTACCAACCTAAGACAGGAGGCTGACGCCTAGAGGTCAGTTCATCCGATGACGGGTAAGGACCATATGTTGAATTGGACTGCCTAACAGGCACGGTCCCTAAGCCACATGCTTGTTGTTTAAACAGAGAGGGGGAGATGTTGAGAGCCACAGCCAAAGGGGCCCCAGCAAACTTCCAGCTGCCAGCAAACTTCCAGCTGCTGGCTGATGATTGGCTCACAGCGGCCCCAGCAACATCTAGCTGATTGGCTCCTCGGCCCCAGCAACATCTAGCTGATTGGCTCCTCTGCGGTGATGCTCATTGGGCTGTTTCCCTGCCCTTTCAGACCACGGAGCTGCTCATTGGGGGACTTTTTTGGCTCCGCCCATGTGACCCAGCCAATCGGCCTCAAGAGCAGGAGGATTGTGGGAGGTGGAGAGAAGCTTGTGTGGGAGAGAGAGGCTTGTGGAAAGCGGGTGGTGGCAGTTGAGGCTCTGAGGGTTTTTCCTGAGAGGCTGTTTTGTTTGGCGTGTGTGGTTCTAAAAATAAAGTTAGTTTCTTTTGACAAGTGGCTCCTGATTGTGCCCAGCCAGACTGCGGCACATAGCCTCAGGGTTTGTAGATCCCCCTGGCTTTTCAGAGTGTTACATTCTTTTCCAGGTGCTTGTTTATGTTGTGAAGATGGCTTGAGCTTTGTCATCTGCTTTTTCTTCATTCTTTCAGGTATCAATACCTCCAGATGCGTGATGCAGTTCCTTGGAGTGCCATTTCATTCTGATGATGGTGTCCAATGAAGGACAACATTTTTACTTTAAAGTGTTGATTCACTTTTAAGTTGCACGTGTGGATGAGGTGCAGAGAGGTAGTTGCACACCTGTTCCAGTGTGCCATGATCAGATCAGGGCATTAGCTCTTCCATTTCCTAATATTTTTTTATTTTTCTGTGTCTCTGGACTGCTCCCTCAGCTGTATTATGAAATACAGATTGACGTGCTGTGTCCTGTGGTCACCTATGATCTGGAGGGCAATACTGCTGGCCCCTCTGGAGTATATTCTGGTACCTGATACTCAGCTTCTTTCTCCAGTCCCTCCCTGTCCTGTCTCACCTCTCTTTTTTGCCTCTGGTGACTACTCCCTCGTACTTTCTGTGAAATCAACTTGCTACTTCCCCGTGTGAGTGATAAAACACAGTGTGTCCCTCTCTCCCTGCCTTATTTCACTTAGTGTGGTATTCATAGTTCCAGTCTCATTTCTCTAAATGACAGGACTGAAAACTATTTTTGGTGAAATCAAATTTTATCTATTATTCTCATAATTGATGTTAATGGTATTATATCCCAGATACCATTCCCATATCCAGTATTGTGAGACGTGTGCTCTACGTTTTCTTATAGGAAGTGTGAGGTTCACATTTTACTTCAGGACTTTGGTCCACGTGGATTTCTTGTATGCATGTGTTGTGAGGGGAGAGTCGGACTTTAGGTGTTAACATGAACATCCAGTTTCCCTGCCCATTTGTTACCCAGAGGTCCTGGACCCCTAGCCTGACCCTGAGGAATATCATTTTCTTCTGTGTGTCAACACTGGCCTGGGTCCCTTAATATCCTCCATTGCTGTGTGTGTCTGCCTTTAATAGTATAGTTTGAGTGGGTTTTGAAATCAGGAAATGTGATGCTTGTCACTTTATTTTTCTTCTTCCATTTTTGAGTTTCTTGCAATTTCATGTGAACATTAGAATGATACTTCTTATTTTATATAAAAATTGCACTGGTGCTTAGCACAGTGGCACATACCTGCAGTCCCAAAGGCTTGAGAGGCTGAGGCAGAAGGATCACAAATTCAAAGCTAAAAGTCTCCAAAAGTGAGTTGCTAATTTGAAAGTGATTGAACTGACTTTATGGTTAATATTTGGGTAGATGTACAATTCCTTGTGCTCACAAACACCAAATATTTTTACTTGTATCATTTTTTTTTTCAGAAGTATTTTGTACTTTTTATAGTAAGATATTGCAGATAATTTCTAAAACATTTTTATGCAGCTTTCTCCTTCTGTTCCTATTCCTGGCTCTTTTTCATTTTAGTCGTGCATTTATTCATCTCATTACATGCCCTGGCATGTAATTGCAGGTTTATCCCACACTTATTTTTGTCTTTTAATTCCCCTGCCCTTTTTTTCCATACTGGGGATTGAACTCCAGTGCACTTGAGCACTGAGCCACATCCCCAGCCCTATTTTTTTTTTTTAAACTGAGGATTGAACCCCGTGGTGCTCAACCACTGAACCACATCCCAAGCCCTATTTTAGACAGGGTGATACTGAGTTGCTTAGCACCTCACTTTTGTTTAGGCTAGCATTGAACTCAAAATCCTCCTGCCTCAGCCTCCCAAGCCCCTGGGATTACAGGTATGCACCACTGCGCCCAGCTCGCAGCCTATTTTTAACTTATCTTTTAAATTGCATGTGAATGTGTTCACTTCTCCATAATACCTTCTATGTCATTATTCAATTTTCCATGTGAATTTCAAGCTACTGAAAATTTTCTCTTCTCTTGGTCTATCTCTTTGTTCTTCTCCATGCTAATACTATGCTGAGTCCAATAGTATAATTTAAATTTTCTTCATTTATAGTCAGGTGTCACTTATACATTCTGGAAGTGTGTTTTTAGGCTGGCTCACCATTGCACAAACACCATAGTGTATCCACAGTCCTAGAAGTAATGACCTGTTAAATGCCATGGCTCTATGGTGTCAGTGCTCCCTAGGCTACAACCCTGCACAGCATTTACTTGACAAGGTACCAAAGTTTAGCATGCATTAGATTTGTTTGTACCACTAACACTACAAACACATTAGTAATCATTTTACTGCAGTTAACCATGTATATGTAAGCCATAATTAACCAAAAATGTCTTTGACCAAAACATTGTTATGAGGCACATGAGTGTGTATCATATTAACCAACAGTCTGCTATCTAGAACATATTGATAGATGTTACACGTTTCTTAATTCTTATTATACCTGGACAAGTATGTTGATTAATGGGAATTTTGTTTGATAAATGTCAGAAAAGGTATTTGACACTCATCTCATTGTATTTTGATATTAATTGGAAGATATTATCAAGTTGTTTATTACTAATTGTTTTTGTTTATTATTTGGTTAAATTTTATTTGGAGTGAAGCACCTGCATATTCAACTTGTTCTCTTAGTGTAATCACAAAGGATGAGCTCAATCCATGGTTACCATGTTGTGACCACATCAATGCAATATCTACTCTTAGAGTCTTCTCTTAAAGCGTTCTTTTTCTTTTTCTTTTCTTTTTTGAGGTGTGGGGGTACTTTGATTCTTTAGGCTCTAACATAAGAGTGGGACAAAATAACAGGATTTCAAATGTAAAACGAATGTTTAGTAAATACCATGTTGTTTACATACTCTCAATCACTATGACTCAGTGTAAATGGTTAGTTTGGTGAAATCATCTTAAATCTTTAGCTCCACCTACCAGCTAAAGTACAACTTTTTTAGCAGGGATTTCCAAGTATAGGTCTGGTCAGGAGGTCTAATATTAGTGCTCTTCTACACATTACATGAGAACCCTACAAAGACATTAGAGGTGACACAGGGCCATATCTTGCTCTCTGGACTTTACAATGAAATGGGTGTTTTGCTCTGCTGATGATTTTCTGGATAGTTCAAGTCTTATTTTGGAAGTACTCTTTTTGAAGCAGTGAAGACAGAGAGTACAAGTTTTAATGACCAAATCATGGAATAAATATTTGGAGACCACAGAAACATATTCTCACATGTTGAGAATACAGCCCTCATGTTGTCAGTCTCTGTTGGTCTGCACTACATTTTTCTGGCATATTTTAGAATTCAGTGACCTTTGAGGATGTGGCTGTGAACTTCACTCAGGAGGAGTGGGCTTTGCTGGATCCTTCCCAGAAGAATCTCTACAGAGATGTGATGCAGGAAGTCCTTAGAAACCTGGCTTCTATAGGTAAGCATGATGTTTCATTACTAATTGAAAGACAGAGCACCTGGGAGTTTTTTGCCCTCCTGTATTTGGAATATAGAAAGGGAGTACTTGGAGAATAAATTGGGCCTAACATCAATTCACTGTGCAGCTTAAATACCAAAATTCTTTTTTTCCCCTTTTTTCATCTCTTTTTATTAGTGCACTAGTGTCCAAATTTTTAATCCCATTCATTCTAAAGTCATTCATAATGATTGTTTTGGGTCTACATTTTAGGAGACAAATGGGAGGACCACAATGTTGAAGATCAGAACACATATCCTGGGATAAATCTAAGGTAATTTGTACTCACAAGAGGAAACAGAGTGCCTTGAGGGAAATCTAGCATGTCCTATAATTTTACAAACAAGAAAATAAACATGATATGAATTATGTTTATTTTTTCACCAAATATGAATTGTAATGTAAGATACATGTTTATTGTTTTTAAAATAATGGATTTGTTGATAGTACTAACAAACTGCATTCATGATACCACTGTTTAAGTAGTAGCTATGGATTGTAAAGTAATCATGATATTGACTTTCATATGGTTTAGACATGCCAGAAAACCAGTATTTTCACTGATCTTAATAATTGTGTAAGTCCAGTGCCTATTAATAAATGCAAAATTACAGAGCCAACCATAAATTGTGCTTGTAATTTTTTAACAGAAGTCATGTAGTAGGCTCTGGAAAAAATTTAAATGGTATTCAGTGTGGAAAAACTTTCAGTGAGATTCCAAATCTAGTCTTAAAAGGACATTCCTGGTAGAAAGTCCATGTGAAAGCAGTACATGTGGACAGGTCTTCATATATCATTTTTTTTTTCTTAATAGGCCCATCGTATCTCACTCTGCAAACAAACCATATGAAAATGAAGAGTATGTAGGGAAGCTGCATGAATGTAAATGGATCAGAAAATCTTTCATTTCTCTCACAAAAGCTCAAAGACATACTGGAGAGATGGCTCATACATGGAAACGACATAGTAAAGCCTTCATTAACCTTAAAGTACACAAACAAACTCATACAGGAAAGAAGCCCTATCAATGTAAACAATGTGGAAAAACTTTTACTACTTATTCTTGCCTTCATATACATGAACGAACTCATACTGGAAAGAAGCCCTATGAATGTAAACAATGTGGGAAAGCCTTCACTCAGTCCAGTCATCTTCACTCACATGAACAAACCCATATTGGAAAGAAGCCCTGTGAGTGTAAACAATGTGGAAAAGCCTTTTGTAGTTCCTCTTACCTTCAAATACATAAACGAACTCATACTGGAGAGAGGCCCTATGAATGTAAAATATGCGGAAAAGCCTTTGCTTCAACCAGTCACCTTCACTCACATGAAGGAACTCATACCAGAAAGAAGCCCTATGAATGTAAACAATGTGGGAAACCCTACACTAGGTCCTCTTACCTTCATAAGCATGAACGAACTCATACTGGAGAGAAGCCCTATGAATGTAAACAATGTGGGAAAGTCTTTCCCTGGTCCTCTTACCTTCAAATACATGAACGAACTCATACTGGAGAGAAGCCCTATGAATGTAAACAATGTGGAAAAGCCTTCACTACATCGTCTAACCTTCAAATTCATAATCGAATTCACACTGGAGAGAAGCCCTATCAATGTAAGCAGTGTGGCAAAGCCTTCACTCAGTCCAATCAACTTCACTCACATGAACAAACCCATACTGGAAAGAAGCCCTATGAGTGTAAACAGTGTGGGAAAGCCTTCAGTTGTTCCTCTTACCTTCAAATACATAAACGTACTCATACTGGAGAGAGGCCCTATGAATGTAAAATATGTGGAAAAGCCTTTGCTTCATCCAGTCACCTTCACTCACATGAACGAAGTCATACAGGAAAGAAGCCCTATGAGTGTAAACAATGTGGGAAAGCCTACACTAGGTCCTCTTACCTTCATATACATGAACGAATTCATACTGGAGAGAAGCCCTATGCATGTAAACTATGTGGAAAATCCTTCACTACGTCGTCTAACCTTCAAATACATAATCGAATTCACACTGGAGAGAAGCCCTATGAATGTAAGCAGTGTGGCAAAGCATTCGCTCAGTCCATTCAACTTCACTCACATGAACATACTCATACTGGAAAGAAGCCCTATGAGTGTAAACAATGTGGAAAAGCCTTTTTTAGTTCCTCTTACCTTCAAATACATAAACGAACTCATACTGGAGAGAAGCCCTATCAATGTAAGCAGTGTGGAAAAACCTTCATTGCTTCCCTTTACCTTCAGGTACATGAACGAACTCATACTGGAGAGAAGCCCTATGAGTGTGAACAATGTGGAAAAGCCTTTGCTTCCTCCAGTGACCTTCACTCACATGAACGAACTCATACAGGAAAAAAACCCTACGAATGTAAACAATGCGGGAAAGCCTTCACTAGGTCCTCTTACCTTCAAATACATGAACGAACTCATACCGGAGAGAAGCCTTATGAATGTAAACAATGTGGAAAAGCCTTTACTACAACATCTAACCTTCAAATGCATAATCGAATTCACACTGGAGAGAAGCCCTATGAATGTAAGCAGTGTGGCAAAGCATTTGCTCAGTCCATTCAACTTCACATACATGCACATACTCATACTGGAAAGAAGCCTTATGAATGTAAACAATGTGGAAAAGCCTTTTGTAGTTCCTCTTACCTTCATAGACATAAACGAACTCACACAGGAGAGAAGCCCTATGAATGTAAACAATGTGGGAAAGCCTTCACTAGGTCCTCTTCCCTTCAAACACATAAAGGAACTCATGCTAGAGAGAAGCCCAATGAACATAAGCAATGTGGTTAACCTTCACTTAGTCCAGTCTCCTTTACTTACATGAATAAACTCATACTGGGAATAAGCCCTTTCACTACTTCATCTTACTTTCAAAAACATAAATGAACTTATACTAGAGACAAGCCCTATGATTGTAAGCCGTGTGGGAAAGCCTTTGCTAATTCATCTAGCCTTCAAATACATGATTGAACTCATAATGGACATAAGTTTTGTTGTGCTTTGGATTTGAGGTTTTCACTAAAAGGTTAAATGTGAAACAATGCAAGAAGTTTCAGAGGAGAAATGATTTTCTCATGAGAGTCTTAAACCAATCAGTCCATTAATCCCTTGACAGGGATTCACTGAGTGGTAGGGAGTGGCTGGAGGAGGTGGGAATTGGCAAGGCTTTGGAGTATATATTTGTATCTGGCCAGTGAAGACCTCTCACTCTGCTTCCTGATCATCATGTGAGCTGCTTTCCTTTGTCACGCTCTTCCATCATGATGTTCTTCTGCCTTACCTCAAGCCTTTGAGGAATGGAGACTGCTGTCTGAATTGACCCCTTAAATAAACTTTTCCTGCCCTACAATTGTACTGGTTGATTCTTTTAATCATAGCGTGAAAAAGATGACTAAAACAAATTTGTACCAAGAGTGAGGTCATTGTTGTTAGAAACCTGATGATATATTTCATAAGCATTTGCAGCATTTTGGAATAGGATGGAGGAATTTTGAGATCTTTAGCAGTTCAAGCTGGAAATTGTATAGGTTGTTGTAAGGGGAGCTTAATGGCCAGTAATGGTGGGAGCTCAATAAGACTGTGGACAGTGAAGACAGGGCTCAAGTGTGTTTAGAGGAAAAGGATGACATTACTGGTGATTGGACTAGAGGTCATTCCTGTTATGCTCTGGCTAAGAAGTTGTCTGCATTTTACCCATGTCACGAGTCTTTCGGTGAGGCTCCTTTTAAAAGTGATGGACTTCTTAATCTGGCATAAGAAATTTCTATGTAGCATAGCTGTCTGGTTGTGGCATGGATATTGCTGGCAGCTTTTAGCCAAATTTATTGTAGTAAGGAGCAGAAAGCAGAACAGAAAGATTTGGAAAATGTGGACTTGAACAAAACAGGGACTAAGAAAGTTGCAGTTGTTAAAGACATTACTGCCACTAAAGAAATGCTAAAGAGTGCCCATAGACAACAAGAAAGATGGCCTGAGGGCGGCTCAGGAGCTGGCAAGACCACACCCTTCTCATGAAGCTCTAGGGAATAATAATGAAAATTCTCTTGAGACCAGTGGGGCACCCTTCTTACACAAAGGGCCATAGGAAGTTTCTTCCCCATGCTCAGCCACCCAGACACTCACAGGCTGCTGCAGCCAGGGTCTCTGGAAGTTTGGCTACTGCTCAAGATGGTAACAGATTTGGGCATCAACTATGTAGTGCTCTCTTGACACAAATGCAGGATGCTTCAGTTAGGGATTCAGGGAGGCTTCATGAAGATTTCAAATATCTGGTAGGCCAGGCAAAGTGCATCAGGGTCAGAGTCCCTGTGGGCCTCCCCTGAGAATTCAAAATGTGGAAATGTGAGGAGGAAGCTAAAGGTGAAGTGAAGAACCCAGAGATTAAAAAATGCCAGTAACAAGGGACATAGTCATAGGAAAGCAGCAGGCATTGAGCAGAGACAAGCCAACACAAAGGCCACTTGGGCTGCATCCACCAAGGCCATAGGGCTAGAGCTACACAAGCTTTTGAAGAGAACATCACAATGCCTCGTGCCTCAAATGCCAGATGTGGAGCTACAGGACCTGTTTGCCCAGCTGGATTTTGGTGTCAATTTGATCCTATCCCTTCATTCTATGCTCCAATTTCTGTAAATTAAAATGTTTATTGTGTACCGAAATTTTCTAAAAGTAAAGCTCAGGGGTTTTTTGTTGTTTTTGTTTACAGTTGTTACTGTCTTCAATTGAATATTTCACAGTGATCGTCCATTCTGGTGTTTGTTTGCATTTTTGTTTTTCACTTTTGAGATAGGGTGTGGCTAAGTTTCCCAGACTGTATTAGCATATTGCTGAGTGTCTAAGGCTGGCTTTCAACCTGTGATTCTCAGGCCTTAGCCTCCCAAGGTGCTGGAATTACAGGTGTGTGCCACCACACCTCGCTTCAATTCTGTTTTAATCAGATATTTTAAACCTGTTTCAACATCTTTGGCAGGCTTCCCCAGGATCAAAGTTTTAAATTAAATTTCTTCAAACTGAAGGTAAATTTTGGACATTTCAAAGAACCCCAGAACTTTTCAGATGTTTATATTACAAAAAAGGAGCTATTAAGCTCCTCAGGCTAATTTGCTAAGTTGCAATGTATGGCAACATTGTCAAATGACACAATAATTCTAAATTCTATCAACGTTATATTGGTATGAATGTCAATGTGATTATGTTAGAGAGTAAATGGAATTTATAGCTGTCCTGATATGATGCTGTCGATCACAATTTGGGTCATCTTAAAATGCTATCTGAAATAACTGAATTTTTCAATTAGTAAAATTTCATGTGATTTTAACCATTTATTTTCTAAGTCATTGTTATCAGTAAACAATGACTATTTTGATTTTTCTCTGAAGATATGCAGTTGGATTACTGGAAATAAATGACTGACAAGTACCCTTCAATACAGTTTTCTGATTATTTTAAGACCTTGGAGCGGTTAGACCTTCCATCTGGGACCCTAGTTAGTGCTTATGAGGAAATTGCTGGAGGTGGTTTTCATTTTAATTGTTAAATAATAAAATTTTATTTCTGAGTTCCTCTGTGACCTACTGTTTGTTCAATGTCTTTGTGTGTGTGTGTGTGTGTGTGTGTGTGGTTTGGATCTGGAATGAAAGTTTGGTCTCAGTGCAGCAGGGCTGGGGTTGGGGGTCTTTCACAATTGCCTGGGTCATGAGGGCTCTAACTTCATCAGTGGTTTAATCCCCTGATGGCTGAACAGGCCACAGGAAGTGGGATCTAGTTGAGGGAGTAGGTCACTTCCTGTCTGTCTCTGCTTTCCTACTGACTGGAGCTCAGCAGTGTGCCTTCACTGTGTCCTTCTGCCATTCTCTTTTTGCTTGGAGCTAGCCAGCTATGGACGGAACTTGATTTGATTGTGGTCAGAAAAGATATAAATATGATTTCAAGGTGTTTGTTAAGACTTGTCTATGGCTTATTACATATTCTAGAGAAAGTTTCATGCAGTGATGAAAAGAAGTTGAATTTTACAGCTGTTGGGTATAATATTTTTGTAAAAGATGGTTTGTAACATACTTTGTTATTTCTTTGTTCCTGTTTATTGTCTAAGCAATTTGTTTATTAATGAAAAAGTGGGCTGTTAAGTTCCCCGCTAGGACCATACTGGATCTTGTAATTCTGGTAGTTGTTGTTTGATAGAATGGTGTGCACATAGAAAGTCAGGAGCGCAGTGTCTTTCTGCTGAAGAGTTCCCTCCCTCTGCATACTGACCTTCCATATCTCTTTACACTTTTGGTCTCTAAGCCTGTCCAATTGGATGGAAGAGAAGCTGTTCCTGCTGCTCTGCTTTCTGTGGTGTGGGTACCTCTCTCCACTTTGGCACTGTCTCTGTAGCAGTTGAAGTGAATTTCTCGTAGGCAGCATGTTGTATCGTGGTTTGTATCCATTCTACCAGTCTTTTTAAAAAAAAAAATTTTTTTTAAATTGTAGATGGACACAGTCCCTTTATTTTACACTCATTTTCATGTAGTGCTGAGGATTGAACCCAGTGCCTCACACATGCTAGGCAAGCGCTCCACCACGGAGCCACAGCCCCAGCCCTTCAACTAGTCTGTCTTTTAATTAACAGATTTAGCCCTTTTACTTTCACAATTATTCTTGACAGTTAAGAAGTCTTTCCTTTCATTTTATTGTTTTTTAAAATTTTTCTCTGAATATCTACCTTTCTAGTGGGATGTATATTTTCCCATGCTTTTTTAATATTGTTACTGGGGTTTCAATTCAGGGTACTCGACCACTGAGCCACAACCCCAACCCTATATTTTATTTATAGAGACAGGGTCTTACTGAGTTGCTTAGTGCCTCACTAAATTGCCTCACTAAATTGAACTCCCAATCCTGCTCCCTCAGCCTCCTAAGCTGCTGGATTACAGGTGTGCTCCACAACACCCAGTGGGTCCGCATGCTTTCTTGATAATAGTCACTTTTCTTGTACTTCTGTAGGTATGACTCCCTTAAGTGTCTTTTATAAGACTGGTGTTGTCAAAATTTTCTCAATTGATACTGGTCATGAAAATCTTTGGTTTTTTTTTTTCATTTCTCAAAGAAACAAACTATGTTTTTGCTGGGTGTAGTAATCTGTATTACTAGTTATTTTCTTCCAAGTCTTTGAATACTACATTCTATTCTCTCTTGGCCTAATAGATTTCTACTGTGAAATCTATTAGTTTCATGGGGATACAGTTAAATGTGACATGCCACTTTTCACTTACAGATTTCAAAATTCTTTCTTTGGCTGGGCACAGTGGCACAGGCCTGTTATCCCAGGCTTGGGAGGCTGAGGCAGAAGAATCACAATTTTAAAGCCAGCCTCAGCAACCTAGTGAGGCCCTAGGCAACTCAGAGAGACCCTTTCTCTAATTTAAAAATTAAAAAAAAATAGGGATGTGTCTCAGTTACTTAGCACCCCTGGGTTCAATCTCTAGTGGGGAGGGGAAAGTACCCATTTATTGGTCCCACCACTAAATTTTTCTTCGTTTTTTTTTTTTTTCTTTTTTCTTTTGTGGTGTTCAGGATGAAACCTAGGGCCTCGTGATCATTTGATGCATGTTTTACCACAGAACTACAGCTTAACTAATTTTGTCTAAAAATTATATTTAATACTCATATATTATCAGTTTTGGAAGTAGTATTTATGACAGTTTTAATGTCACCTAATAGAATAGTAAGTACACCAGTTTATCCTTTTCACTGAATCATTGTTACATATTTAAAACTATTATGTATGAAATCTATATGTGCAAATGCTTAGGAAAATATATGTTATGTACTATGTATAGTTCGTAGTACTCTGATTCATTAAAATGTCAACCATTGTTAATATTTTTACTTCAAAATGCTCTTTTCCATTTTTAAAGTTTCATTTCTGCCGCAGTCTAGCTGGGCACAAAATCACAAGCCACTCACAGCCTTGTAGATTCAAACAGCAATTCTTTATTCCCGAACTCTCACCAGCACTCTACACTCACGTTCTGGGGAAAATCCACCTCCACTATGCTCTGCATCCCCAAATATTCTCTGAATCCCTCAAGAACTCAAAGGGAACTCCAGGAGCCAGCGGGCGCCTGAGGCAGCAGGATACACCCTATTCCCAGCAGGGTCCACCTTAAACCTGGAACCGCCCTAAACCCAAGGAGTGGCTGCCTGAGGCAGCAGGATACTCCCTATTCCCAGCAGGATACACCCTAAACCTGGACCCACCCTAATCCAGCAGGATCCTCCCTAAACCCGGATCCATCCTGGTCCTTGAGCAGGGTCACCTTTCTCAAACATTCATGCAATGTCACTGCAAATGACCTGGGTCCAAGGCAAGCCCATTTCCACAATGGAGAGTCCTCCCTCTAAGCAACATTGGGTAGGCTGACAAGGAAATTGCCATGCGTCATTCCTACTTGGCTATGGCTCTCAGCAATTTCTGTTACCTAGCCAAGATGTGGGCTCAGTTTGCTATCTTGATAAAACCTAAAGTCACATCACACAATCTCTGAATTAACTTTGGATAAGATATCTCATGAGTGTCATAAAAATATGTCTTGACTATTAGGTACAGCAATCATAGTCATTTTCCCCTCCTTACTAAAGAGAACACTGAGATTGGGTATCCACAGTGTCTCAAAGTCTCATTCCTTCATACTATCTTAAAAAATAAACTACAAGGACATTTAGAAATGCAAGCTATTACAAATTGTTATTTCTTAATATACAAAATTACCAAACCCTCAAGCAAATTGTGTTAATAGACCTATGTCAAGTAAACAGTTAAAATTATTTACATTTTCTTGCCCAACTAATACCCCATATCTACATGGTCTCGAGGACACATTATACCGTTTTGTAATGATGAATACTGATTGGAGGTTCAAGGATGGTTGAATGGAGGCATTTGACACTCATGTGACCCTCTACAAGAAGTTATAGAAGCAGCAGGTGTATCGCTGCATATTGAGGTAAGAGATCATGGGACAGCACTGGAATTCAATAGGTGAAAAATAAAAACTTTGGAAAATCCATAGACTCTGGACAGCAGCATGGCAAGAGAAATAAAATTCCAGCACCTGCTGCCTCAACTCCTTAAAGGAAGGGGGAGTCTCCCACATGCTGAAGTAAATATGAGAGTCCCAGCAAACTATCAGCAGACACTGGCATTCTTAAGAATAAGAAAGGTTCAGCATCCTTGTGGGATGATAACCTAACTGGATAAGTAACCAGAAATCTGCATAATAGTTGTGCTTTGGAAGAGGATTTCACATTATTATCCAGTGAACATTCGAGGTGCATTAGCCAGGCGGAGCTATTTAGAAGGGACCTATCATGTGAACTGGGACTGTTTTAGGGGACATAAAGACAGTCCAAAGCACTGGCTCTATGGATAGCTGCCTTATGAACCAAATGCATTTCAGTAAGTGATTGACTCTGGCTGGGGAATATAGCTGAGTTGGTAGAGCTTGCCTTGCATGCACAAGGCCCTGGGTTCAGTCCCCAGCACCACAAAAAGTGACTGACTCATACACAGGGTGCTCCGCTACGTTGGGGGTGATGCTGTGACAGAAGGGACTGGAGGGGCACCAACTTCTAGATTTAGGAGATGTGGGAGCCTGCCATTCAAGACCAGGGAAAAGACCAGCTTCATACCAATGTTACACTGAAGGTGGTCGCCCAGGCAATTTCTACCACCTTTCCCCCAGTGCTGGGCACAGGCGCCTGCCACTGAATTTTGGGGGGAATTATTCCCTGGTACCATGGCTACCCTGCTCACATGAGCATGCAAAGGCCGTCTTTGGATACATAGATAGCCTAAGGTGCTCAGAGATGAGCTTTACCCAGACCAACCAAGTTGTCTGTAGTCAGTCCCACAAGCACTTGAGTGACTATTTACCTGACTCCAGCCATGACTCACTCCTGCTTGCTTTCTGGTGGGAACTATAGGTGAAAGATTGAAAAGTGAAAAGTCAGGGAAACCTTACAAAGGGTCTACCCAGGGGACCTTGGTAGAAGTTGGGAGGCAGCTCCATGGAGTCATAGTCCATGATCATCTGGAGCTTATTGGGCTCTTGTCCTTTAGGGAAGTCTAGAGGCATATGATGGGGTTGTTATGGTTTGGATGTGAGGTGTCTCCCAAAAGCTCATGGGATAGACAATGCAAGAACATTCAGAGGAAAATGATTGGGTTGTGAGAATGTTAACCCAATCAGTGAATTAACCCCCTGATGGGGATTATGAGTGGTAACTGAAGTAGTAGGGTATGGCTGGAGGAGCAGGGAATTAGGGACAGAGCTGTGGAGCCAGGTGTGGCTGAATGGGGCCCAATATCCCCACTGCCTGGTGTGGGGATGGCCTTAGGCCTTAACCTAAGCAACTCCAATTTAAAATAAGCCTGCAGTCTCACCAGGCAAGCGTATGTCACCAGGCATAGCCTGATAAAAACAAGTCATTTTCACAACCCTGATAAAAGATTGAAGTCACATGCCATTTGCCTTAACCCTGATAAAAGTCGGAGGGTAATATCAGAGTAGAAACCACCAGACCATA